TTGTCTCACCTCACTTTGTAAACTAATGGTGCAGTAATATATACAAAGCTTTACAATCTATATACCATGTAGATTACATTCAATTACATAGTGTATGCAACAAACACTGAACAGCATCAGTATTATTCAAATGGTGGTGTTAAGTCATCAAAAATAAGTTAAACCAAAAATAAGTTAAACCAAGCTGAGCAAGGTGGTACATTCCAGTAACCCTGGAATTTGGGAGGATGAGGCAGGAAGATCTTGAGTTTAAGACCAACATGGTCTACATACTGGGTCTGAGGCTAGCCACATCTATATATTGAGACCTAGCTCAAAAAAAACCCTAAAAAACCACAAAAATTAAACTATGCATAATATATTCCATTTAAACAAATAAGATAGTAACCCTATTAGATTTGGCCATTTCAAACTACAACCTTCATGTACTCAGAGAATTCAGTGAATCAGAATGACTTGCTACCCAAGGTGTCCATGAACCTAATTACTTTCAACTTTTCCCCCAGAAAGAGAGAATTTGAAATCAAACAGCATACTTAAGTGGGTGTTTCAGTCTTCTAAAACATTACAGTTCCATATTATGAAAACTACAAGAGCCATCAGTATTTTATCCACTATTTAAATAAGTTCAAGCTTTAATATTAAAATGTTTTTATACTCAAAGTGATAATAGAAGAAAACATCATAAACTTCGTATTTACTCATAGTAGTATGGAACAATATTCATTGTTTCCATAATTAACAAAGATAGTAACACTTTATGAGTCAAGAAAACTCACTCAACAAATATTTAAATGGCTCTTGTGTTTTAGAAACCGTGAAAGGCCTAACAAATCTAAGCATTTATGTCCATATAAACTTGATGTAAGTGTAAGAATGCCAAAAACCACTGAAGAAAGGAAAAGTGGGCTAGAACAAACTAAAAACTATTTTATAGAGGTAAGGAAAATAAGATGGGGTAACAAGAAAGAAAATGTTCAAAGCTGAGCAAAATAATTTTTCTCAATAAAAATATCTAATTAAGAACACCAAATATAGGGCTTATTCAAGGAAAACAATTCAGAGAAACATTCAATCAGAGACAAATTATTTATTAAGGTATTCAACAAGTCACACATATATGTAAACAGTGTTTAGTCTATCCTTTACAAAACCTAAGACTTAATACTTGAAATACAGAGTGCAGCAAAAGAAAGAAAAAAAGGAGCTGCAGGTAAAGAGAAAAATCTTTGGCATTAGAACTCGGTATACTTTTCTTAATATTAACATTTTTCTATTCTCTGGATCTCTTCCTATCATGGCATTCTATATGTCATTTCACTTTAACTTGGAAAAGTGTATAAAAGTTCACTTTGAAAGAAAATTCATTTCAGTAACTTCCTGTCCACAAGAGGGCTCCAATATTTCTTCCACAAACAGATCTACAAAAATTATTTTTAAAATATTCTAATACTAAGATTATGAAATGTACTGACAAAAATAATTGTCTATCTCACTTAACCCCCGACTACAAAACTATTACATTTGTAATAATTTGCACATTAATCATTTTTTAAAGAATTAGGGCTTTTAACAGTTTTATTATCTAAAATGTTTCAAATACCAGCTTTGCCACTGTCCTCACACAATTTCTCTCTTAGGTCAGTTTCAATGTAATAGATAACTTTTTAAAAAAAAACTGTTGTGCTGGGTGGGGTTATACTGTGGCATTTAGAAATCTTAAAGTATAACTTTAGTTCCTAAAGCCCTAAGTAGTATTCCAAATGTTATGTAAAATACTTTTATAAATACAATACTGTATTTCTTGATAACTTTTCCAATCCAGAAAGCAAAATTACTGCCTTCTCTACCTAATCTTAGTCCTCATTTCTAACATTAACAGTAAACGTCTTGCAGAAAACCTACATTTGCTGGCATTAGTCATGCTGCAATTAAAAATACCGCCCCAATGAAGATCATAAACTATGACCTTAGCTGAAAAAAAACTAAGAAATGTCTTTTAAATATAATGTATTATGATGATATTTTGTTCAGTTTCAGATATTTTCCATAAATGTTACCACTCAGGTGTCTGTAAATCTACTTCAAATGCAACCATTCAGCAAATGAACATGACAGCATTCCATGTAAGTGTGCTTGTAATACTTATAGGACATACACATTACAGAATGTTGACTGGAAATGTACCAACAGCAAATTATTCTTTTTAAAAAGAATACAGCAAATCCATTCAGAAAGGGGCCACTCCCCCTTCAAAAAACTGACTAAGGTTTGCATTATAAAAAATGAGACCCTCCTTTTGGTAAACACAAAAATTTATGGAATGTTTAGAAATAAGTTTTAAATGTGGGTTCTATTAAAAACAAAGAACAGTGCTAAAATACCAATTTTAAAGTGAGTCACAATTATAGCCATAAAATGGAACCAAAAACATCAATTGATTTAACTAATACTATAGCTCTAAAAAGAATTATCGCTAATAAAAACATGAGACATGACAGAGCTTATGATTTCACCACCCCACCCAATCTCCTGGATAGGATTTTCCTACAGTGCTGACAAGCACCATTAAAATGTAAAAGAGCATAACATTTGTTTCTAAATAGCACATACTAGCTGTCAACACTTAGAAAGCTTAACATTTTACTGCACCTACAAAAATGCATCCATAATTGCAAAAAAAGAGGACTGTAACAGTATGTACCCTAATCAATTTAGTTATGCAGCCAGGGAAATGTTGGGTGTGGGAGTGGTGAGACCAGCTTTTCAAATTCAGAGTGGTAAATGGTTCTCATGAATATAAATGCAAATTGTCAATCATTAATATGAAAAATATGGCAAATAGGAAGCATTAAATCAACAACTTCTAGCCAATCTTTAGTACATTATATTTCAAAAAGTTGGGAACTCTAAGCACATGTCAAATGAAGACACTTCTTAAGCAAAAATGCAATGTCAGGAATGGCACAGGAAGGTTAAAAAGGCTCCCACAACAAAAATCTTAAAACCTCCAACAAGTTGAACATGAGACACAAAAACCACTCAGAACAATCTAAGCTGTGCATACCTCCATACACACTCTAAAATCGCATCATCAGGGCATTATGTGTTTATTACATAATACTGCTTTGTCCTTGCATATCACCTTTAATCAAGGGATCTCAAAGCACCACAGAATCATACAGGCTGAAACAGATAAGTAGTCAGCTTTTATAACTGCAGCTACTAATAAAACCTTGCCCCTACTTCCAGTCCCCTGATCCCAACATAGCTTCCAATCCCTCTCAGTCTTGGAAATCGCATTCCCCCAAATCATCTCAATTTGTGACCGACTCTATGTACATTCCAGTTTTTTTCTTCATCCTTGGGCCTAAGGAAAGTAGTGGCACTGCTTTAATAACACAAATCTACTTCATTATAACTTCTGTGACAGAATAAATGGTACTCAGGTGAAAATATCTTGTACTGTGCATGAAAGCTTTCGAGAAAGCAAATCTTTGCCTGAGGCGATGAGCCCACAGATCGCTCATCAAACAGGGTACAGCTCTGTCTAGAAACCTCCCCAGGCAACTTCCAAGAGCAGAGTAGTAGAGGAAACCAAGTCAGTCGCTCAACCAGGAGGGAAGGGAAAACTGAAAGGACAAAGCAGGAGTTCTAAGACTCAGGAAGAAAAGTGTAAGGTGACTGTGTGCCTACCCCCGACACACAACAGTTTCCTTTGCATTTAAATAGCACATTAAATGGGAAATCAAGCAAGCAAAATGTCTTTAAACCAAGGTCAAAAAGATCCGTCGCTTAGAGTCACTTTTCTTATTTTAAAATCTGTAAAGGAGGTTTCCTCCTCTGGAAAAAACTGACATTTAAAATTTTAATCACCAGCAAAGTTCAATTTTTTTTTCATTAAGTTCACAAACATTCAAATGTCAGCTTAATGAAAGAGAGCATAATTACATTAACTTCAATTCTTTCATAAACAGGGTAATTCATCTTCCTGTTCACTGCATTCTATGTGTCCTCAGGACTGCAAAGTGTAATTTCACACTCCCACAAACCACCTCCAGCACTGTAGGGCCACACAATAACAGTCAATCAACACTCAAACCATAACCTTTCTAAACCAGAGGAAAAGTGTCAATAACAAGAGTACTTTTTGTTCCCAGTTCTCAACATTCAGTGATCAAAGCTCAAGAACACGTTTCATCGGCTAAACTGCATTACCACTACATATCTGTCACTCAAAAGCCTTGAGATATTTGTAAAAAGTACCGATCTATGGTCAGCCTATATTTGTGAAAATTCCAAGCATCCTAACGTTCCTGTTGCCATACTCGATCATCCAGACGCTTCAAAATCGCTCCCAGCAAATTCTGGTCTACTTTTTCCTGGGGACGCGCATCCCTGTTCTTGACAAATGCCAAGTGTGCGCCCACGGCACTGGCGAGCTGCGGGGAGACCCCGCGTCCCTGTCACCCAGGACTCAGGACGGCGCCGTCCTCGCCCCGCGGACACTGACGTTTTCAGAAGCGTTAAAACGCCGAGTGTTCGGAGGCTGCCAGCCAACGGGGCCAGGATTCCTCCACCCGGAACCCCCGCTACCTTTCCCTCCTACCCCACGGCCTTCGATGACTTCGAAAACCCCACCGAACGAGAACACCCATATTCAAGCCAGTACTTTCGAAAAGGGAGAAACCAGAAGCGCCAACTTCTCCAAATCTCCCAGCGCGGTGGCTCTCCGACCGTGCCCGGCCAGTCTTCGCCCCGCGCCTGCGTCCCCTCTGATTAAATAAGCCTGGAAACCACAATGAAATCAGTGTCACAACTTATCACACACTCACCATATCCGCCGGGACATTACTGGACATCTTGCCGTTGGAGATAGACCCAGATGTTTACTGCAGAAAACAAATAAAAAGAGCAGAAGTCTTCGAGCTTCAGAACTAAAGCCTTCGCGATTCTGATTGGCTCGTGATGTGCTTTCCCCAAAAAACAAAACAAAAAAAATGTGTAGGTTATCTCGGAGCCCAAGTGTCCGGCTGACCGAGGTTCTGCTGCGAAGAGGAACAATCCCCGAGAGCCGTGTGGCCGGAGCGAGAGGAAAGTCTCGGGACAGCCGTGGCAGCCCCTGTCGTCGTCCTTGTCGTCGTCGTCAGCAGCAGCAGCAGC